AAATCTTTAAAAATATTATAAATAATTTTAATTATTAAATAAAATTGCAGGCAAATTTGCCTGCAAAACGCTTTAAGGGATAACGAATTATTCGTTATACATACCGCATAATTCGTTATAGTGTTAATGAAGATTCTTATAACGAATCTTGATTAGCTGGATCAGCAACTTCATTATATCGAAGTGTGACTGTATCTATAAAAGCTTTATTGTTTAATATTCTACTTTTAAAATGAGATTTTTATTAATATTGGAATTTTTTGTATTAGAAATAAATTCCTATTAAATCTAATATGAATCAGCAAATATTTTTATTTTTTTGCTTTAATACAATATTACTTAATTTGCATTATTATTAATACTAAATTTTTTCTAAATAGTTATTATATTCTTCTTTTTGTATAAAAATATTTCATATAATTTATTAAGTGTTTTACTTTAATTAAAATTATTATTAATATTATTTGTTATTATTACTTTAATAAAGTTAAGATATATTTAATATTAAAATTTAAATCTAAATAATAATTATTAATCTAAAATAGTGATTATTAGAAAAAATTATTTTTATTAAAATATTTTTCTAATTATATAAAATACATATAACTAATTTACTTAATCAACTTACATCTAGATTAGTATTCTTTATTCTAAAAAATTTATCAATATAGGATTAAAAAATATTGCAATATAAATAATATATGAGAAAAAAATATAAATCTTAAATGGTTTTAAGAAAGGAATTTTATTTAAAACTAAAAGAGTAAAACATAAGTATAGACTATCATAAAGAATTACTTAAATATATATCTTTAATGAATTATTATTTAAGATAAGTTAAAAGTCTTTATAGATACCTTTCAAATATTTATATTAAATAAAATAATAAAAAGTCTTAGTTTAGAATATACTTTAACATTAATTAATTTTGATAATGCCAAAATTAATTAAATCAATTTAATATTTATTATAAATTATTAATAAATAATTATATCTATCAAAATATAATTTAATTAGTAATTAATTAATTTATACTAAAGTATAGTTCAAAGTAGTAATTATCTACTTAAAAGCTTTTTTATTTAAATATATAGAATATAATATATACTATTTATAGTACAATCAAACATTTTTTATTTATTAAAATTATTAAAATAGATTTTATATTTCTTAGTGATAGATAAATTACTCTATCTAGAAGAATTTGCTAAGCTATATCAGAGCATCTTCAACTATACTTATACTTTTATATAATATATTAATTTTTGTATATAACAAAAAGAGATTATAAAAAAACTTGTTAAAGTTAAAATTAATAATGTGAAGTTTATAAAGTAGCCAATGAAAGAAAATAATAAATGTGATGTTAAAATTAAAAAAATCTAAAGAAAAATAAGACAAATACCACTAATAGATTATGAAATTAAAACAGAAGTAGTTGTAAAAGAATAATACTTCTAATAATAATTTATCTAATTTTAATTCAATTGAAAATCATTGTGAAAAACTATTATTAAAATTAATTCTTTAGATTACTTATAATTAATAAGCGAAATAATATTTTTAAATGGTATTATTGATCAATTAACAGTTTATTTAATAATGATAATAATGGAATACTACTTCAATTAGCGCTTTGTATTATACAAGTATATTAAAGAGATTAAAGTAAATTATAATCAACTCATATTATAACAAACTTTATGTCTTAGATCTCAACTTCGCTATAAGACTATAATAAAGATTTTAAAAGATTTGATTGACCAATTCACTATAATAAAAGTATTTTTATTATATTTGTTTAAAAAATTCATTATATCAAGAGTTAACTATATTTAATAAAACTACTTATTAGATACATCATTAAACTAAAAGAAAATGTCCTCTATTTATATAAAATAAAATACATATGTTATCAAAAAAATAAAAGAAATAAATATAATATATGAGATAAATATAATAAAATAAATATATAGTATAAATGAAATAAAATAAATAAATAAAATATATTGATAAAAGAAATATATATCATAGAAGACATATAATACATATATGATTTTCTAGTGATCTATATCATTTTTTTGATCATCATCATTTATATCTTCTTTTATATAATACCTAATTCACCTGATTTATTTGATTAGATTATTTTATTAAATTCTTTACATATTTATTATTTTCATTATAATTATTATTTTTATTATTTCTTTTATTTTTATTTTATCTCTTTATTTTATTATCTTATATTATTATTTTATAAGCGAAATTTACTAAAATAATTAGTTTATAATATAGCAAGTAGTTAGCTGTAATAAATTCATTTTGTATAAATAGAATAGTTTTTTGTTTAAGTTGTAAATTAACTCAGTTGTAAGTTTTAATTCTTCTGTGAGTTTCAAGTTATTAATAAAGGAATCAATTTAAATCTATACAATTTTATTTTTTCCTTCAATTTTGTCTCTTATCTAAGATTTGTTGTGATATCTTACACTAACTTGTTATTGAATTTGTCATTACGAGCTTGAATAACATATTTTAAATTCTAAGATATAATAAATTGCTGAGCTGATTCAAGTATAATAGATATCTGTAGGATTTAAAGAAAATCTTAAGATCAAAAATTCTAACGTATAAAATTAATTATTGTAGCCTTTCAACTTAAATGTTAAGATAACTAAAAATGAACCTGGCGATATTATGTATTTAGAATGAAATACTATATATTCTATTTGTAAATCAATATTATCTAAATTTTTAGTAACATATGTAAACAAATAAATATTATCACATAATCATATTATTGAATTTCTTAACAAATATATATAGTCTTTTGCTTTGCTTTGAATAATAATTTACTTAAATTACTACTTAAAATATGCTTTAGTAAGAGTTTATATTTTTGATATAAATTTTGATATTTTATAAAATTACAATATTTATTTAAATAAATTTATATTTTAATTCTTTTATATATATCTTTAAGTAAAATAATATCTAATTAAATAATAATACATATTATACAACATAAAATTTTTTAACTTTATAAGCTTCTTTAAAATATATTTAGATTATAGAAATACTTATTATAATGTATAAGATTATAAAGATTAAATAAAATGATTAAAAATGTAATTTATATTACAATAGTTTAAAAATAAATAAATTATATAAGAAATAAGTGATTTTTAGAACAAAAGATTCAAAATCATAATTCTTAGATAATTGTATAAAAAAAAAAAATAAGAGCCTTATAGAATATTATAAAAATAAAGAAAACTTTAAATCTTCAAATTATGATATACTATTGATAAAAGATTATTATCATCTTTATCATTCATAATATTACAGGATCATATTTATTAAATTGAGTATGAAAGAAAAATTAAAATTGAATTATTTGCTAAGTTAGAAATCTAAATTGATTAAACAAACTTAAAACATATAATATAGAATTAAATAAGTTCAGAATTTATTAATAATAAGAAAAATTACATTTAAGCTAATATGATATTAGCTAGATAAGATCAGAAATTAAAAAATACTTAAAATATATTATAGTTTACTGAAACTTTTAATTGCGAATTATAGATAAATTTGACTAGATTAACTAAAAGTCCTAAACACTTTTGGATGATCCTTTAGTAAATGAGTCTCTATTGAAACACTTAAAGAAAAATTAAATCATTCTTTTAGACATAATTAAAATTCAAGAAATCTGTTAACTATTAGAAAAAAAGTATGAAAATACCTTTAGAATTATAAGTTTTATAAATTTTGCAAAAGAAAGATTTAAAAACTAATAAGAATAATATCAAAAAAATATTCTTTCTCTAATAAAATTTTGTTATATAATATTCATTTTTCACTTATTTTCTTTAGCCATGTTTAATAAAAATATTAAATTAAAAAATAACAATAATTCATTTTAGGAATGATCGGCAAGATGATCGTCCGATATGATTTCATGCAATTAATTATTATCGTAATTGTTAATATTTCTCTCTATATTTTAAAATGGCCACCTTTGATGATTTATCTAGCAAAATCGAACAAGTAGTATTTAAATGTTTGTCTTATCCTCAGGAAGATATGGAAGATAATATTCGGAAATTACTGACACCTCTTGTTAATAATAAAGAGACTCTTGAACTACGGAAATTAACGCTAGAGCATGTAATTAAAAAAATAGCAATGAGATATTCGGTATGTAGTTGTTATGATGTATGTTTTAATATTATTTTAATTAATATTCTAATTATTATTATCATATAATTTGTAGACACTCCAACCTAATGAGTTAATACCGAATGCTTTTAAACTTTTAGATTTAGTATTAAGATGTCACGAAGTAGATAAAGGTGTTGTATCTTTCTTTGGGTTACTTGACATTCAATTCTCTTTTCTTAAAAACAAAATTTTTTAATTTATTTTGATTTAGAATTATGTGAACCTACTTTAACTCTTACGATTTTGGAAGAGCTTTTGGAAACTCAACCAATGGAAGTTTGCGAAACATTGTACCAATTCTTAGAGACTAATAAGCAGAGGCTATTAGTGGTAATTTAATTCTACATTTATACCGGAACAATTTTAATAGATTTGAAAATAGATAATAATTATTAGTTTGGTGGTTGTAGGATCTAAAACCGACACAGGGTAAAGGGTTGGTTCTGTTAAGATTATCTAATGAACTTATTCGCCGAGCTTCAAAATCTAATCACAACGCGTTCCGTGGAAGAGTATTAATCTTTTTGTCAAATTCTTACGCCCTTGGCGAACGTTCTGGTAAACTTTTATTTTATAAAGTTTTTATCGCGAGTAATTACATCATTATATAAATTCTCTTCTCTTTGATAATTAGGTGTAAATGTTCGTGGAGAGTGTAATATTGAAAATGTAACGAGCTATAATGCGTTACAAGAAGGTTAGCGATGCTTTTATGTTGAATCGAATCAAAAGAATAACAAAATAATAACAATTGAGGAAATCTAGGCGAAAAGGCCGAATTTTATAATACCTTTTGGAACCTTCAGACTTATTTTAATAATCCACCAAAAATTTTCGATGGTAATAATTTAAATATAGTTCTTGAAGTAAGAAAACAATTTCTTCCCTTTTTTTTTTTGTTTTTATATACGGATTACTATTGTCAATCATACTTACAAACATACTTTGTTATTTAAATGATAAGAAAATGGAAGTAGTCTTAATTCAATTTAATGAAATTTTGTCCAATGAAAAGAAAAAAGCTGTAGTAGAAAATAAAGGGAATGCTATGGAAGTTGACGGGGAAAATGATATCTCAAAGTCAAAAGATGAAAATAATTACAATGCATCGATCAAAAGAAAACATCATGAAACCGATGATTGTTTAGAGGAAACGATAAGTTTAGCAAAGGATTACGTTAAATATTTTCCCAAATATTTGACGAGTTACGCATTATTTGACAAGGAGGTTTGTGATATGAATTAATCAAGTATATATTCACACATATATTAATTCAAATTTATCTTTATTCATCGATTATAAATAGATATCAGATCCCAACTTCCGTCGCATAGTTTTATTCCAATTCCTTATAATATTACAGTATTTTACAGGATTTTATCCTGAAGAGCGCGCTCGTATTGAAGAAACGAGAGCAACATATAATACTGCTAATGCTGTACAACTTCCTAACTTTACAATAACTGAACAGCAGGTAAATGCATTTTAGTCTTTAATTATTCTAAATATGTAACGATTTTGATTCTATATAAATAAATATAAATATATTTATATTTATAGCAAAAGGTAATACAAGAAACTTGGAATCGAATAATCGAGCAGCTCAATGAGAGCACTCCGGAGGGAAGTAAATTCACTACTACACTACTCCATATACTCAATATGGAAAAGAGATGGAATCATTGGAAGTTTGGTCAAAATTGCGAAAGTGTCGCAAAAAAATTCGTTGAAAAGGTACCTGATGATGATAGAAAATCAACGTCTTTTTCTAAGTTTGGTTTAGCACGAGAAAAAAGAATGAAATTATGTAAAAATTTGGAACCTATGAAATGGAAGATGGGAACTCCTCATTTAACCAAGCTATGGACAAATACAATGAAAGTTTGTGATGAAAAAATATTATCAGATTCAACCAGAAAGAGGGCTGCACCTACTTTTCAAGACGTTTACCAGAGAATCAAAGATGATGGTTACCCGGTAAGTTATTATTATAATTTTAACCTTTTTCTAATTAAATATGTTGCTAATATACCTTTTATTTTATTGTAGCCGGAAATTGGACTGACATTTGATGAAAACGACTATGAGTTCGATAGAGAAGAAAAAGAAAAAGGCTGGGTAACTAATTATTTTATCAAATTTGTCTGTTCATGTGAAAGTTAAAAATTAGATTAATATATCTTTATTATATAGGTACAAAAATGGTTCGCGTTACGAGCCGCTAGAAATAATTACTTGTTGCATTTTAATAAACCAGCTAAGAAAGATGCAAAAGAATTGAAAGATCCAAAAGTTGTTAGTGCGTTAAAAGAAGCAGAAGAATGTAAAGATGAAATTGCTGTTTTGAATATTTTAATAACTGAAAATCCTACATGTAGTAGTGGTACTAGTAGTAAAAAACAACCACCAACTGAATCTGAGAATACCGAACAAAAGAATGGAGATCATAAAAATAGTGTTGATCAGAAGAACAGCGAACATAAAAATGGAGCTCATAGAAACGGGGATAATCTTCCCGTAGAGCAAAAAAACGGAGAACAGAATAGAGTTGAACTGAAGCATGTAGAACAAAATAATATTGATATGAAGGAATGAGCAAATAAACTTTTGGACTTACTACATTTAAATTAGAACCATAATATTATTTTGGGTCGCACCTAAAATATTTTTTATACATTAGGATTTAAGTTGTAAAAGGGAATTTTATTTTTTAAAAAGTAATTGATATTTAATATGTAATATGGTAGTGTTCTATTTTTAGGGGTGCCTAATAAAGCTAGTAAACTCCATAATGATGTAATACAAATGCAATGTTAATTTGTCATATCATTTATCTAGTCGAGATTTTTATTTTAAAAATATCACCATTTTTTAAATCAAAATTCATCATTTTAAAATAATTTTTCTCTTCCAACATGTCTCAGAATTTACGCAAGAAAGCTGCTGCTCGTGCTTCTCGACGTGCTAGTAACAATTCCGGTCCTCCATTGGCATCCATTCTTGCTGCTAATGGAACTCCTTTAAGTAGTCGTCAGAATACTGACGAAGAAGACGCCTGGAGTGAAACTTCCGCTGATACTCTTGATTCTTGGGCATCAGCCGGAAGTAGAGCTGAAGACAGAATTCTAGAAGAAGTTGATAATTGGGAGGACGAGGTATTGCAAAGCATTGATAATTTGGAAGAGAAACGTACAAGGTAAAATAAGTTCGTTGCCATTAATAATTAATGAACCCTTCTAATATTTTATTATTTTGTATTAGTACTCGAGAAGACGCCTTGACCGTTTTGATTCGTCTCCTCTCTCACAAATATGCTGCGGATATTCTTTATTCGCGAAGAGATACTCTACTTGACATGTTGAATCGGTCCATTAAAAAAGATAAAAGTCATAAAGAAAGTAGATTAGCTGCTAAAGGTATATTTTTAAATTGAATTATAATTTTATTTACGACGAAAAATTAAAAATAATAAATGCCCTTTTTTTTTTTTATTAGTAATGTCATTACTATTTATTACTTTAGGCATGGATCAAGAAACAATGTATCATGATGTTCTATCCCTTTTGAAATATACTATAATCAACAACACTTCTATGGAAGTTAGAAGTGCGGTAAGTAAGAACGGAAGTCATATTTATATTTTGGAATTTCATATATAGTTTCATATAATAGTTCTAATAGTTCCTAATTTCTTTTGATATTTTCAGTGCATAAAGACATTAGCTTTGGCCTGTTTCATTGCTGGATCACAAGCCGAAGTTTTTGAACTTTTAAATTTTTTTGCCGAAATAATAATTACTAATGGCAAAAGCGTTAATGCTGTCAATGACGGAGCTACTTTAACAAGTGCCTTAAATGCATATGGCTTATTATATGCTAGTCTGTGGGGGGATTCAAAGAAAGTGGCAGGTATGGCTAGAGAGGAATTTGAACGAATCATTCCAGCACACACAAAACAACTCGAGTCCTCTATCATGGAAGTGAGAGTTGCTAGTGGTATAAACATTGCATTGATGTTTGAAACTTTGGGAATTGGTAAAAGAATAGATCCAGCTGAAGAATGGGTCAAGGAACATGATGAGGTTAAAATTTTATTTTAAAACTTTTTTTTTACATTAAGAATTATAATATTTACTCTGACATGTATTATTCTTTTCTACTAGTCTGATGAAGGTTATTTTGACTATGATGACATGGATAGGCTAACTCAATTATTGAGTACATTAGCTACAGATAGCAATCGTCATCGTGGTAAAATTGAACGTAAAGTGCAAAGGTCTGCTTTTCGCGATATTTTAAAGACAGTTGAGGTTAATAATATTTTATTTATTTATTTATTTATTATGAATAGAAACTGAATTAATAATATGGGTTTAAATGATCATTTAAAAATAGGTGGGTGATCGAGTTCAGGAGAAGCTCAAATTCAAGAAACAGACCATTTACTTTTCTACTTGGGCTAAAATCGTTGAGCTTAATGCCTTTCGTGATGTTCTTGCAGAAGGTTTGCATGTACATTTTCTCGAAAATGAACTTTTGCAAGAACTCTTCAATTTTGTTCCTCCACGTGCTTTGCCAATAAATCAAGGATCAAGACCAACTTCGGCTATGAGTTTTCACACTGCTGGATCTGATACTGATACTTCAATTGCAAGCAAGAAAGCAAAGAGTAAAAAAATAAAGAATAGAAAACAGAATAAGATGAGAGGAGGGTTTCTAGAAATCGGTTAAATATATGTAGCTTTTATTTGGGTGGATTTAAATTAAAGTTTGATATCCTTTGAATAGTCTTTCTGGACAGCTATATCAAGAGGACATACCGCACATCATCGATGATCATATTTCGTCGAAAGCGGGTAGAAATATGATTGATCGGAATGCATGTTCTTTATTGTGAACTATTCGCATTTCACTTTTTGGTTATCAAATATCAATTCAATTGTTTGATTTTAATATTATATTTGCGTTAGTTGTTAATTTTACTACAAAGTTTCGTTGGTGGAAGTTTACCTTAATATATCTAATAAAAAAAATATACAGTATTTTGTAATTAATTTTTTTCAAACACTTTCACGTGATTTTTTGCCGGCATTACATCTTTCCTATTTGTCACTAGGAACGGGACGCATAATTTATCATACGAGTTCATTTCTTTTAATGGGCTGGCAATGTTGTATTGAGAAATTACTTATACGTGACAATTAAAATGTAAAGCATTAAAGTTAGCCACAGATCGGTTAATGGATTCGTTCATATATACATTATTCATACAATATATAATGTAATAAATTTTTGTATTTTAAATGAGGCATGCTGCAACAAAACCAGATAAAGTGAACATGCACAGCATTTCAGAAGATTAGATGTTACAATTTCAATGTTGGCATTCTCATTGTATTTAAAACCTATTTTGTAAATCACTATTAAATTTTTTTTATTTGATATACACCGCTTTTAACAGAAGTTTTCTATTACATACATAATCAGGAAAAAATATTTTTTTTTTTTATCTGAACCACGATTATTGTAAATATTAAGAATTCAAATAGACATATAATCATTGCCCTTTTTAGTAATCAAAAATTCTTGATTATCACCATTAACAAAAAGCATTCAGGAACAGGTTAATACAGTAATACGTCCTACGACCGTCGTTGGTTGCTTGACACTACTGAGCTATGCTGGTAGTGAGAGGTTCAAGTTGCCGCGGTGAAGCCTTATATTCAACCGTGTGTGTCATCAAAGTATGGCCATGTGGGTCTGGGGTGATTCCTATAAAATCTGCAGGTTAAATGATCACATCTAAATCAATCTAATGATAATATAATAAAGGTTCAATATTAATATTTAAACTTTAAAATTAATTAAAAATATATATATATATATTAAAAGCAAGATAAATAAAAACTCATTATAACTACCGGCTGATGCCAGGCATAGTAATAATGATTACCTTTACAAACAAGATGGTCACCGGACAGATGCCAGGCGTGAGTACATCTTATACTTCTATCACAACCACCGGCTGATGCCAGGCGCAGTGTAATAGGGATGCATGGGGGAGGTTTCACTAGATGGTTGAAATTGCCTCCGCTTCACACTTCCATGGGTCAACTACCGGCTGATGCCAGGCGTAGTAGTCATGGGTATAAAGAACACCGTTTCAAAGAGAATTGAAACCATTACAACACAAGGGACCTATTATCATTCATTGTGATCAGTATTTTACACTCCTGAATAATTCATTTAATTCATGTGCTTCTTTATGAAACTAAAATATTATCATAGTACGGAACTTTTATAAAATATTATAAACAATAAATAGGAAATTTTAAACCTTTTTTCAAGTAATTCCACGGCATGTTAAAGCACATCAGAGTGTAGGAACTGACACTTTTTTCTGTTCTTAAATTCCATCTCTTCTAAATAAATTTACAAGTTTAAATAAATTTATTACTTCATATAATTAGCCAAATATTTCACTTGGGAGTTAAGATTCAAATAGTGATTATCATCACATGATCACAGATTTTTGAGGTTAGACTGTAGAAACTTTTATTAGGTGAAGTGCAAAAGGACATCATTCAATGGTAAATGGTAAGTTTTAAACATTGTAACAGCTCATTACAGTTAACGGACTGAGCCCAAAATGTACACGTGCCCCATTCTGATCAACAGATCGGCAAAGTGTATTATCTTTAGTGCTCGATGAGAACGAACTTCTTGGAAAAGGTCTTAATGGCACACTTAGTCTGGTCTTTGATGGAATTAAGCAATTTAATTTGAAAATCACTTGTGACAATGCGGGTGGACAAAATAAACAATATCACTATTTGATTTTAACTGAATTTAGTAGTTGTTTATTACCAAAGTATCGAATTGAACTTTATGATTCCTCAAATGCGATGGTAACTTCGGACTAATTAAAAAGCTTTATCGCAAAACCACGGTAGATCGTGTTGATCAGGTAGCCGAGGTGATTAAAAAGTCTAGCATTATCGGATTAAATAAAGCTTGGCGTTATAACGGAAGAGATGGCTTCAATATTTTGATATTTTAAGCAGCTTGGAAGTTTATTATTTTAAGAAGCTGAATGACATGCAAAAGTTTCAACATTTTCTTTTTACTAGAGTGAACCCGGTGTGGTAAAAGCCCAAAAAGTCGTTAATAGTCCTTTTCAGGAATTCAAGCTACTGAAGACTAGTAAATAAAAGTCATAGAAGAAATTAAGGCTCTATCGTTTCCAGTGTTGGTTCCTCCTCCTATGAAGTATGAAAGGCAAGAATACTTTTATAATTATCACTTGCCCCAAACCATCAATCAGTGCACAGAGCTAATGATAAGTAAAATAATTTTGATTTTTCCAAATAATTATTACTCTGTTCAAAATGTGATTGATTAATTTATTATTACTATGTCAGAAAAAAAAATGCATGACTTATGAAAAAGCTTTTGTTTTTCTTTTCAAAAGAACTAACTCTATCCGATCTGGATAAAACAGTCTTTTTCTCGGCTAAATTTTGACCCAATGCTAAAAGCTCACACAGTAATTATTAAATGCCATATGGAAGAATGACGGCTCAGATATGCTATTTATTAGAAATACCTATTAAAGAATGAATCAACCTCTACATTTTTACATGCGAATGGTACCCAAGTGTAAGAAGTATTATGGTAAATTTGATACGATCTACGTGGTGGTCACCGATGTTTTACTAAAGATTTAAGCAAAGAATTCCTTCAACATAACCAAAACGACATTATAGTAAAGTAGTTGCTAAGATTAGATTAGTACCATTGATAAAAAAACATGGACCTAAATAGACAAATATGAAAGAGTTAATAAAAAAAAAAAAATAGATTATCAAGATGTTTAATAATTTTACAATAAAATTTGGTTTGAAATAAAATCTTAAGAATGAAGATTCAAAAGCTCCTACTTTTTATGTTAATGATTATCATAATTCAAATTCGTAATGGGTTTATTCCTAAATATAGACTGGCTACCGAATGAAACCTGACCTACTAATACAAAATCTCAAGTACTATGGAAAATGAAAGAATTGCTCTAAGGTTATACAAAAGAGTGAGGTAAAACTAAAGAATTATAACAAATTAAAACAATTAGAAAAAGAAATTCAAGTTAAATATCACTAATATCATTAGTCCCTACTGTAGAGACTGGACTTTTATTCGTTTAACTTAAGTCAACTCGAGTTAAATTTTAATTTAAGTCAAGATTTTCTTGATTTGAGTCAGAATTCGAATTGACTTGAATTAAAACTACTCAAATCAACTTCAAATTTATGCTATATTTTATAAATAACATGTAATTCTTTTCTTACACTGCATTTATTAGCATAATATAATTAACATTTATTATATAATCATTGAATAAAAATTTTTTAAAAAAATTTCCTTTGGTTCAGCCCCAAAAATATCACAAAATTTTAGCTCGCATTGTATTTTTCCAGCCCACATTATGACTTTAAATCAAGTTTGACTCAAATTTCTAACTCGAATTTCCAACTCGAGTACTCTTCAAGTCAAAAATTTCTTGATTCGACTTTGATTCGAGTTAACTTTTCTGACTTGAGTCCAAACTCTACCCTACTGTATTAATGATAGCATTAATAATAGTGTAATGTTTATGATCACTTTGTCTGGTTTTTTTGTAACATATCCTAATGACTAAAAATTATATAAATTGCTTAAACTGTAATTAAGTAACTTAAATTAAAAAATTTAATAAATATTTATTATAATAAAAAAATATAACTGTTTTTTTAATTTTTTTAAATAAATCACTTGGATTAATTTATAAAACCTTTAATAATAACTTTGTTAGTATTATATATAGTAACATTTTTATTTTCAGCTTAAAAATTTTTTTTTAAATATTTATTTTATTAATAATTAATAAAAAAAAATTTTAATTATTAATATACATTTAATAAATTTATTAAATTATAAAATTAAAAATTTTAATATATATATTTAAAATATCTTAATATATTTTAATAAATATTAATATTATAATATTAAGTAAAATTATTTTTAATTAAAAATTTAGATTAAAAAATTAATCAATATTATAAAGTGCATAACCTTTAATTTAAGACATATATCACTAAAATTTAATAATTATCACATTATAAATCAAATAATAATTGTATAATGCAAATGTAAGTTAATTACCATTGCATATTTGATTTACTTTTACTAATATAACTTTAAATCTATAAATTTACCAAAACTATTTAAAAAACAAATGTATTTACTAAATATTTATTCTTTTTTTTAAAATATGAAATAATATGTACTAGCTTAATAATAGAATTTATTGTAACTAATGTAATCATTTTTATTAATTTAAGAATATAGATATTCATATTTAAATAACTAGCCTTTTACTTAATATTTAAAGTTGTACTATTATATTAATATAAATTTATATATGTTTTTCTCATATATTTTTAAATGAAATAATATTAATAGGATCCTGAACAATCTATGTATAGGTCAGATGAAAATTTCAAAATTTACTATGATCAATAAACAAACTATTTTCAACTCTGCTAAGCAAACTCTCATTATGACTTAAGAAAATTTGACTCTGCTAAGTAAACTGTTTTATGACTTATATATATTAAGTAAAATTTGTAGTTTCTTTATATTAAACTCAAAATCAGCATTTAAAAACTACTTTTTAT